TATTTTTACCTTTCAAAGTTGTTACACTTTTAATTTCTTTATGTAGCATGTAAAAATTTCACATGACAGAAAAAATACCTCTTGCATTCATACACACTACCAGACAGCGAAGAGACGGGAAGGAGTTAGAATAGCGCTCTTTGAAAATGGAAGCTTGGAAAGCCCTGGTCACCAGCCTGATCATTTCTTCCAGGTTAGCATTCTTCCTTTTGACAAAACAATGTTTGAGAGTCCTATCTATGAGGGAAAAATGTAAGCATCATGGTTGAATGTACTTTGCCAGAATAAAAAAGTCCATGTAGACAGCTATGTTTTCTTTCAAGAGGCTGTTTGCATACACAGTAATACAATGCTGAGCTCAGTGGGTTGTTTATTGTTGTTGGTTTTTTAAATAACCTGGGAAATAACAAAAGTACATTTTGCTAGATTCTTTCCGCATTCATCTTCAGTGGCAAAAGAGTAAGTGTGCAATTTCTATTCTTCAGGTCCGCTCAGTATAACCGGCTTGTTGGAGGTGGAATTTTTTCAGTCTTTTCCAAATGACATACTTAAGCAAAATGTCATATTTAAAATATGCGTTCACTTTTGTTTTAGAGATCTTTTCAGCCTGGTAGGAATTGTTAAAAAACTTGTTCCTGGAGGTTTTTTTGATCTTGTCCCTACTGTTTTTTAATAAACCATTATACTTCTCTACATGCACCTCTCAGCTTCCTCACCGAGTGATGCTGCATTCTTCCCTTTCACTGTGGTTCCCTAGGCCACTAGGATGGTTTCTGCTGACTGACTTGACTTCAGGGTATGTCCAACAAACACAGTGAAGCTGTGTATCTGATATGTGGACACACTAAGGGCTTCACTACTCAAGGAAATCTTCTGTGTAGTTCTCCAGAGAGCACAACAGTTAAGCCTCAAAGGACTTGATTGAGGGTAGGATTTTGGGGAATGGACTTCCTTCTAAGAAGGCTATCCTGGATAGCAGTGGTAGGAAAAGCATCCCCACCGTAAGCAGCAGGCTCATAGACTATGTCAATATAAATTTTTTTTCTAGAAGGATGTGCTCTTTATCCTCTCTTCCTGTAAGAGAATCTCCAAAAGGCAACCTCGAGTGCAGAAGTATCCTGTAATAAACTTCCAGCTTGAAAACAGAAATTCCATAAAAATGCAGTAATCACACAAAGCTTTCTTCAACTTTTCCACAAGAGATGAACAGATGCAGCTCTAGAAGGCAGTTCTGGACCTCCCACTCTTCCACCTCAGGCCTCCAGGTTCTGAATAGAATGATCATTGAGGTAACATTGGCCAGGGTCCCACAGCAAAATTGTTGGGCTCTGGGGGATGCTGGTTTCTGTTTCCCAGCATGTGTAAAGACGAGCAAAGTCTTCCTCTCAAGACAAACTTTGCATAGGCTCCATGGTGAAACCAACTTAAGAGAGTCCACTCTTAATTGTCAAGATGAGTTTTAAACTGGCAAATAATAACCCAATTTTTTCTCATTAACTTGTGAGAATCAATTCCCTCCCAAGATCTTGATAAAATAATTACTCAGGAAAAAAGGCAAATGGATTCTTATATAGGCAGTTTAGGCAGTTCTAGAATTCCAGTGTCAAATCTGAAGTAGGAAAAGTGAGAAATACAGAAATGCAGCCACCATAGATATAGATTTTTTTTTTTTTTTAAAGACTGGAACCATACCTTGGCACTAACAAGGAGAATGTGCATAAAGAACTAAACTGTTATATAGTTACTGTATTTTTATGGCTTCCAGAAGTCAGTTTGGTACCCAGCCTAACTTGGATTGGATGCAAGCCTTGTTTCTAATTTTGGCTATAGTGATATTCAAAGAAATATTCAAACCTCTTGCTTGCTGTTTCTTACAAAAAGCATAATAATGTTTAAGTTAAGATTTCCTCTGTAATAAATATAACCATATACTCAAATTTGTGTGTTCCATTCTCAAACACATACACTATATGCCACTTCAAAATAGCTGGCATTAGTGAAGTTAAGCAAACAGATACAAGGAAAAAAAACCAGTTATTTTATTAATTTCTCTCTGTTTTTAAGCTTGAGCACATAACAGCCTTTCATAATTTATAGTCTAAACTTAACAAGGTATGGTACTGAAAATGGAATGTTAAGATATTTCTTTCAGTCATTTTATTATTAGGTTTCCATTTCCCAATGCAATCAGTTTTATTTTATGATCAATTACAGAAGTATACCATACTATTTCTTACATTGTACACTATTCCCAGTACTTACTCCCCTACAGTAAAAAGTTGCCTTTTGTTGAAGAATATAGATTGAACAGAAATGCTCTCAAACGTTTAAAATACTTTCCAAAAACCAGCATGTATACAGTTCTGTAGGTCTTACCAGAGGTGTATAATTTTTCAGCATTACATCTTAATGCCAGTTTCCTGAAGGAGCTTTGACTACAAAAGGCATGAATATGTTTTCAAAGGATGATGGATAAATTGGTGGGTGGTAATATAATATATCTTAGGCAGCTGATCAGGGCTTTTTATCCTCTGCTTGTCTTTTAGTTATACACAATTTCAAGATAATTATGGTCTATAAGAATGTCTTTTCCCCTTCCTACTACCAGCAATATTTGCCTTGGTTATAGGTTCAAGAAACTTACAATCACATAGTAAAATTAGAATAGGGCAATTATGACATCTCAGCAGAGAACTGAATGCATAAATAGACTGACCACACAACATGGACATAAGGCAGTTAAGGAACTGCCTTTATGTAAAATACCAGTTAATTAGAATATTAACTATAGAATATATTGAATCCGTACCTGATTTTTATAAACCAGAATACAACCATAAAATGTATAATTTGGGTTGATATGTACCAAATCTATATTGCCTTTCCGGTAAAGAATACAGTCCAGTCAGATACTGAAAATAAATTAATTACTAATGTCACTAAATAAAATGCAATGTTATTCAATGGTCAGATGTGTTATATTAAAATCCTGACTTCCTGGAGATATCCAAATCCCAAACAGCTCATTTTTATGACAGGAGAGTCATTGAAGCACCTGAAGGTCCCCTCTTTTAGAAGTCAAGTGAGACAGTTGGAGGGAAAACTCCTCTACCTCTGTGATTTGGAGACCTAACTGTGGCCAATGCCAGTCTTTATTGACTTTTTTTCAGGTGAGTCAATAATGTTTTTTAGGTAACACATTCTGGCATTTCAAGAAGTGTTTAAGCTTTCCAAGTGTGAAAGTACATCATTTTCTAGATTGATGACTAGCATATTACAGGGTTACTTCACTGAGGCAATTTCAAGATGGCAATACAAATCAGAGAAATCAACTCTACTGTGCCTTGTCTCTTAAGCAAAGGAATTGTTGAACAGTCAGCTTAAGAGTAGAAAAGCGCAGACAAGAGTACTATTGGATATATAAACACACAAGCAGAGGAAGAAAAGAAGACAAAACCACGTTTTCCTCAACTTTCCTGCAGTAATATTGTCCATCCATTTGTAATATCTTATAGTAACACCACTACAGAGTTACAACAGAAGAATGGAGTATTGTTATCTAGTAACAACCCCTGAAATGTGAGAAGGAAAATTTACTCCAAATCAGACATCAGAGCACAATAAGTTACATGGAACTAACTGACCAGAAAAATCAAACTGGTAGAAGAAGGATAGATGTATGTAACAAAGTCTGTTGGTTGATTTGCAAAAGCATAAAGAACAGGAGCTAAAACAAACATGACATGCTATGAACAACTGATTCAAAGGTGAATGAGAGAATAATAAAATGTATGTTAGTTACTCCATTTTAAGAAATTTTAATGCAATGCAATAAAAGCATTCATTTGAATAATTTAATTTTGATAAGAAAAACAACCACAATGATCACGTATTGTATGGTCAGAAAGTCAATTAGCAGTTATTTAAAATCAAATATTATTAAAAAAATGTAGCACATTCTTATGTAACACATACTTCACAATCAAATTCTAACCTATCTGTTTAGGCTATATTCTAAACCACAAGAATAAATGATAAAAATTTCACCTCTAAGTGAACCCTCTTTAGGTTCAAGATCATAAAAGAAAATTAAATTTTTCATAACCACAATCATATAATTTCATTAAGAACATAGTTTTTTGTGAATACTGAAGATAATATTGAATAGATAAGGCATAGAATCTACCATCACTAGGTAGGAAGAAAGGAAAGTAATCATTTTGTCCAGAAATAGTCTCTGAAGACTCTTAAGGAAAGAGCCAGACTTCATTTGATGCAGAAGTAATCAGTAAATTATATATTACTTTTGATATTAGAAAAAAGCAGCCTTAGAAAGACATAAAATATTTAATGAAATTTTGTAAGATTATTCTCACACTTCAGCATTTTTTGATCAGGCTTTTTGCCTATATAATTTCCTCATAAGGGAAACTATCAGTGTTTGATTAGGAGCTCACTGAAGTCTGAAAGGAACCTTTCTAAATGACCTGATCCAAAGCTGACCATGTTTCCTGGTAGAAAAAAGGCAGTCAGAATGAAAAGTATGTGTAAAGGAAGTTGCAATGTTAAATGATATTCTTCTTTCCTATAGGAAAATACAATAAATATCTAGACAAATTGTACAGTTTCCATGACAATATATATACTGGAAGCAGCTTAACTACTCTTCTGGACAGGCAGGTGGAAACTGTAAACAGCTGGGTTTACTTAAACCCTTCAACGAAGTCAGCTAGTCTGTCTGGTTTTCGTCCATAATCAAAATAAAGGATAAGCAGTCTCCTAGCCTGGTGTGGCCTTGGGAGGATCTTACTCCACTGTCTGCAGAGCTAAATTTAATTCCCAAATCTGGCTAGTGTAAATACTCCTGCACTTCCCAACACATTCTTATGAAAAACCAAGATTAATTAATTTCTTATTACAAAATATATACACTTTAAAATGTATTTAAATTCATCAAGACATTACAGCTATAATTGTCAAAAGCTATTAATCTTCTTTACCTTTAAGATCTTGTCAGGATGCTCTTTAGCAGAAGCAACAAACAAGTCATGTCCACAGACAACTCCCTCTGCGAGAAAATACTTGAACAACAAATTGGAGTAAAGACCATATTTATCTTCCTCTGTGAAAACAAGAATGGTTGGAATTTTTTCTTTTTTTGTTAGATAAATCACCCACCTGTATTTTCACAATACTATAAAAGCCCTCTTTTGGTCCACCTCCTAGAGTATATAATGTACAATGCTTGATAACAGTGTATTCCTAATTTTTCAGGCCAGAGAAATAATTCTCAGTCATGTATTGGATTCTAAGGTATGGATGGGATACAGCAATAGTTCTATCTTCCTAACGAGGTTTCTCATAAGTATCAACTAAGATTACCAAAATCATGGTTTAAATGGGAAGGGGTTTTGTTTATTTGGAAGAACTGGGTTACTATTTATATTATTAATGCTTAAAATATTAATAAACTTGCTTAAAATATCTATTACTTGATGCTTTTCAAAATTTAATAATACGTGGCATGCTAAAGCTTTATAAAGGTATAATTTCTTATGGAGACATTCTTATATCTGCATTTCTTTCAAAACTGTATGAACTACAAAAATAGGCAAAACAAATGGATATATTGAAAAGACAGACAATTTGCAATGCCACTTTTGAAAGCTATCCAAAGCAAAATCATGAACACATTGAACAGACACATGAACCTATAGTTTAAGAAGTGAGACAATACTTGTTAGCAAATATTGTGAATACTAGCCTACCGAAACAAAAATACAAACTCTCACTGACTTCAGAAAGGCTGATATTTCCTTCAGCTTCTTTGTTGCAAGTATCAGAAATTAGCAGAATTATAAAAGTCTTAATGAGCTTCATATAATTAAAGCTTAGCATAACTCAAAACTATGTGGGAAGTGAATGAGTAAATAACAACTGAGATTTGAACCATCTCAGTATTTCCTAAAAATAAAGAAAATCAAACAGCAGCAATGTTAATGCTAGCAAAAAACATTCCTAACAATATAACTACCTCATTAATTGTCCAGTAAAATTTTAGATCATGCCATTTGGAGCAACATATTTCTAATATTTATTTAGAAAGATATCTGAAATATTTTATTTCAGAGAAAATTAAATGCAACAATGTAAGGTTTCACTTTTTGATCTGTTAATATGGCTGCTGGAAGATAACACAACAGGGATGTCGTGGCAGAAAAATACAGAACCAACAAGTCTCTTAATGCATTGTGTGACTTGGAAACAATTTGCTCCCTGTTATGAATCACATATGAAAATACTAAAAGAAAAACCACAAAATTAATAACAGAGGCTGAAAATAAGGAAGTTGTCATTGATATCTAACTTGTAAAAAATACTAAAGAGGGAAAACAAAAATAATATAACTTTTATATGTACCATAATAGTATGTTTTGGAGCTTGAGAGTCAAAAAGAACCAAAAAAATGGAATGGGAAGGGAAGGAAAGGAATAAAGGAGGTATATATCCAAAAAGGAGAAAGAACATTAATAACAATGGGGAAACTTAAGAATCAAATCACAGAAAAATAGTGTTGCACTGCTACATTTTTGATATCATACACAAGTACTGACACTTTCAGTGCTTAGATTAACAAAAGAAAGAAATTCAAACCACAGGTTTTCAGATTAACTGGGGAAGGAACAGTTCTCCCAGAGATATTCCCCATCCTCTATGGTATATTGGGCAAAACAGAATTTATTTCCTGCCTTTTTTATTTCACTTTAATATTTAGTATTTGGGATACTTTTTTTTTTAAAAGTAAAAGGTATACACTTAAAATTTGGAAAATTTCTTTCTTTCATTTCTTTCTTCTTCCTTCTTCAGGAATCTTCTTTATATCCCTAAAGATATAGCATCAAGATTAACTACTTAACTTACTTGTTAAGGAGAAATATGTATTTAAATGTTTCCCTTTCATTGAATCCAAGAAATGAACTGAAAGTGACTCTAAAGCAACATTTTGAGATAAATAAATATGCTTCATAACACAGGTGCTAAGACAGGAAACTACATAAAACTGAATATCCAAATAAGCCAAAGGGAATACAATAATTACAACACTATTGCTACTAGTAGTCAACACTATTGCTGCTAGTAGTAGCCATTGATATATTCAGCTTACTGTAGAGTCTGAGGCTTTTAAGAACTCAGATTGCGTTAATATAATTTACCTTTGATACTGTTATCCTGCTTACTATTAATATTAGCCTTCTAATTTACTTCCAGTAACACATTTATCTTTTTAAAAAATAACAGTCTAGTGAAAAATATGGACAGATCAGTATTGTGGAAAGTACAGTACTGACAAACGATTACTGTTCACAGTGCTGGGTTCCTTATTAAAATTTCAGCAGAACTGATTTCCAAAAGCATTACAGAATTACAAATGGCAATTTCCTTGAAAGTTTGGAACTCTTCATTAAATATTTTATACAGTTTACTCTCACATGCTTATAAAGCCATTAATAGTGTTACTGAAGAACTGTTTTGCTAGTAACTCAGCTCCATACATTGTGCTGTGACGGAGGACGTAGATCCATGTACGAGACTAGGATGGAGACAAGACTACAGCTGCAGAAGCAAAAAGTAGAACTGACACTGAAGTTTTGAAGAAGTATTACAGTTTAATTTTGTAAATACAGTCTTTGGAGCCTGCTTAGATCTTAAACTGCTTCAACAAGAGGGGAAAAAAAACCCCCATATGCAGGGTAATTCTCCCTTATAACTGGAGTCCAGGAACACATAGAGCTCCTGCCCCCTACACATTGGCTCTCTAGTTATTTATGCTTTGGCTGCTTACTGCAATATAATTGGTAAAATATTATTCACAGTATATTGACTTCCATCTGCTAATCTCCACCTATGAAGCTCTCAATTTTAAGAACCAAAGCCCTCTAGAAATCAAAGTGACAGCATGATATCTGCTTATTAATTATTTTTTTTCAAATTGTCTGAGCTACCTGAAGGAAGCCACCAAGCCTTCCATGTAATCACACCACTGCAGCAGATGTCAGTGGAGGGAGCCAATTTTCTCAGACCTCCATTCCTTTGAATAAAAGGGGAAAAGGAACACTAAATAGGTGCTCTGGAAGGATCCTCAGCTGTAACATTTACTTTATCCTTGGTGAATCAAAAATCTTGATTTCTTAATTTTTATCTACAGGTTAAAGTTCACCATCATTTGAGGCACTGAGTTGTATTGCATATGGACAGGACTTAACTGACATTTATTGGAGCATAAGCCAACATCTCATTTAGTCCAAGTATTTTATGGTTTGTGTATGTGTGTGCAGCTATACAGCGAATATTTCTGGATCATAATTTTTAATATTAATTATTCCTTAGGCAGTAAATAACATGTGCAATTTTGCACCAAACATAACATGGAAACTCCATAAAGCATGGATAAATATAAGAAATTGTGTTGATTACTTAACTAAACTGAGAGGAGATGAGGCTGTAGATGAGGCTTCTTCCTAAAAATTAGGAAGAATTTTTACTCAAAATGCTGAAATCTTAAAACAAACTACAGAAGTGAAACAATGAGGAACAGGGATATAAGCCCTTTTACTGACCTATCAAAGATTATAATTAATTGTGTTGAGTGATAGACTTATTTGTAATAGGACTAAAGATGTTCTTATGCTGCCATACCCTTCCAAAACATAGTCTGCAAAACAACAAGGATTTTTCCATTTAGCAAATGAAAAACATTTACATTCAGTGTAAGGACACATCATTTTAGCATTAGCCTTTCCTTTAGTCTTCTTACATTGATTTTCATTACAGTAAACTTACAGTAAAAATAATAAATGAACTATTGGAGAGTGATCTAAATATAAAACACCTCATAGTTTGCTACAGTACTCTAAGGATTAAATGTGTCTCAGAAAGCCTTTACAAACAGTGTATCTCGAATTGTTAAAGTCAATGCATCTGTAAGAATCCCTCAGTTCTTCAATTTGTCACATAGAGGATGGCTTTTTATTGATTCATTTCTAGGTCACTAAACTTTTGTGGTATTCAAAAGATCTAAAGTGCACCCATATGGGGCTTTTCTGATAGCATCCATTGTACCCTGGCTTCAATAGTTATGTTACTATTCAAAACTATAGGAGTACAGCTTTCTTCTTGCTAATAAACAAACAAATCATTTAGCACAGGTGTTTCAGTAGCTCACTGATTACTTTCATAGATAAGTTGAATGAAATGCTTTGAAGTCTATTTGCTTTCTGATAATGCCTGGACGTACTATTTTGATGGCTAGGATAAATTTTCAACTGTTACCTTTATTTTTCCAAATTACACCCACATCCAAAAGAACTACCTCCATTCTGTATGTGTAGGAACTAAGACTTAAGTTCATTTTAGTCAGCCAAGATATTTATGACAAGCCTGGCCCAAATCTTTGTTCTTAGCCTCCATACTAAAGAGCTGTCCTATCAGCAGCCTTCATTGTGAACTTTACTTCTAGCTAATAAGGCACATAAACAAATAAGACTCTTGCAGCTGCAGATTCTTTTTGGGGTGCAGTCACCACAAGTCACATAACAGTCCACAGCTTTCTCTGATTCTTTTTGAACAAAGAGTGTTCTACAGCTAAGTAGCAGGTGAGTAACTAGTGAAGCGTAAAACTATACAAGGGAAAGAAACTATTTACCTAGAAGTTATGCATATTGTCTGCAGGACAAAACCTCTTCTGATCCTACAGATGAGGACATAAATAAAATAGTTTATTGTGATCATTATCCATTCATTTATCTCCTTCCACAACAGCATGCTTTCATGGCTAACATAGTCATGAAGAAAAAGCAGTATTGTCAGTATCAGTGCAATGAATCCCAACACATAACCATGTTGAACACTAAGGATAAAGACCAATTCCTGTTTATGGCTCTTTCCACTCCCAGACTATATAGGCTACTGAACACATAAGAGACATTCTCAACACCTTTGTGCATGGACTGTCTGTAGCTACTACTCAGAGAAATCAGTGGCTCATGAAATTAGATACAAAATTTTAAGGCACTGGAGTTTAGCTAGGGCACAGAAAACAAAGGCAGCAGATATGAGTGAGGCACTGTAAATATGT